AGGGAGTGAGAAACCAAGAGTTTGAGACCCCGCTGCTCCACAATATTTCACAGAAATGTCGGGAGTCAGAAGGAAAGCAGGGAGGGACCGCCCTTCTCAGACCCACAGAGAGGAAGGAGCTCTGTGGACAGTCTGCAGTGCAGGGGCTGCTGTCCTCTCTTCCCCTTCAGAGCTCAGCCCCACTCAGGAGGCAGGCCCGGGCTCTGGGGAAGGGCTGGCCAAGGGCGGGCAGGCAGGCACGCAGTCCTGGCTCCCAGCCACCAGACTCACAGGCTTCCGGGAAAGGCTGACGGGGAGGCTCTGTTCCTTGGAGTCTGAGAATGTGTGGCTGGGGAAGCCTAAATTAATTAAATGATGCTGCGGCCCCAGGCGCTCCTGAGGAAGGCACAGGGTGGGCAGCAGGGGAGGCCAGCGGCTGCACGCCCTCCCCCAGCACTGGAATCCAGAGAGGCTCGTGAGCTTTGTTGGAACTAAGCCTGCACTTAAGTGCTTCCAGGGAAACAAAGAAATAATAAATCAGGAGCAGGTGCCCCGCCCACATGCTGCCATCACTATCAACCTGCTACTCTGCGGAAACATAGTCATTTTGTGTCTCAGGGACCAGATGTCTCAGTGAAGCAACAATTGACAAGGCCCTGGAATTGACTTGGCCCATGACCTTCTCAGGGTCAGCTGACGCCTTCCTCAGATGCCAGATGCCAGAGTAGCACCCCCCTCACACACACAACTCCTCCAAGACCATCCTCCCTCCCCCCCACATACACACACACACACCAGACCTCACCCAGCACAGATGCAGAAAGGTGGTCCTTCCATCCCCTCCCCAAGATCCCATATACCCGGAACCCCGAGTCCTCCACTAGCACACTCCACAGGCACACGTCCAGGTGGAAAGGACTTCACCCCAGCAGACAGAAGCCACAACGATATTTAATGGATAAATTGAAATGTAGTCACCCAGAAACCACCATGGTATCCACCCCTACAAAAGCATAATTGCCTCTGTAAAGTGCCAGGCATTGAGCTAGTTACTCTCAGTAAGTCATCTCCTGTTCTTCAGTATCCTGGAGCAGGGCAGCATGGTGGCTGACAGTGAATGCTGGAGCAGGCAGCCTGCATTGGAATCCTGTCCCCCCCGCTTGTGAGCAATAAATGATCACACGGCAGTATCCCTGCCTGCAAAAAGATAATATGAAGGCAAGTAAGATGATTAAATGAGTCAATGTTTGCAAAAGATTTAGAACTGTGCCTGGCACATTGTAAACACTTCGATGTGTCTAATAAATAAATTCCTTCCTGTATTCATTTGATTTACTTTGCATACCACATAGGCTCTGAGTAGCAACAGTCCCTAAATCTGGCTGAGAAAGGAGAGGAAAAAATGCTTCCCTTTTCTCCAACAGAACTGGAAGGGAAGTTCTCTTAGGCCTGAAAGTTATGCTCAGAAAAAGGAGTCTCCAAGAAGGAATTCACCAGGAGTTCTGTGAGGAGGAAGCCAGGGCACAGGAAGATCTGGCGGCAGGGCCTTGTGGGAGGCTGGTTGGCAAGTGGTGGAGTCAGTCAGCACCCTGGACAACTCCCCAAAGGCCAGCGCAGGAGGGGTTGTTCCCATGTCCTGCCCAGGCTCAGGCCCAGTCCTTTGGCTAAAACAGAGGGTCCTCTCCTCCCTGCAACTCCTACATCCTAGCTCTTGGGGCTGCTGAGGGATGGGGGTGTGAAGTTGCCTTCTGAGCCTGAAGTTGGAGGGTAAAGGAACTTAGTGTCCCTGGGAATCTTCATTGGGCCCTCTCCCCTACACGTCCAGCTGCCACCTTGCAGATGGAGCAGCGGAAGTATAGATCCTCTACCCTGGGTCTACACTGAGATCCAGGGTAGAGGGAGGCCGTGTGAGGACCGTGAAGCGAGTCACACAGCCTGGGTTCAAATCCAGGCTCTGCAGCTGGGGTCGTGGGCCGGTGAGCCCGCTTCTCTATGCCCAGTTTCCCGTCCGTAAGGCAGGAGGAGTAGCACCAGGATTGTGTGAGGATTAAATAAAAGAGCACACAGAACACCCCGGCACAGAGTGTTTCATAAATGTGTCTGCTTCCTGCCACTGGAGCACGGAGGACTGGAGATTAGGCATGAGCCCAGAGATAGCATGGCTCCATGCTCAAGAGCAGCCTGAGTTATGTGGGCCGGAGGGCTGGGAGAAGGGTCTGCACCTTGAAGACCCTGGGAGAGTTCTCTTATCTAAGATTCCACTGAATTCTAAGTTCTCCAGCCACTAGACAGAACACGTCTGCTTTAATCCCCCCCTCTAATCAGACAGGGCAAACACTATATGCATAAATCAGAACTGGTCTGCAGGCTGCCTCTTTCAGAGCCTCATACTGGGAGGGTCAGAAGAGGCCTGAGGTTTCAAACTAAATGACTGGACAGCCAACCAGACAGGTGACATATGTGTGCGAAGCCAGTTAGAGGGAGTGCCATGAGCCAGAGACTATGTGTACCGACTAAAGGCCCTCAAATAAAACCTATAATAATAAAAGTGTAATATGCTAATTAGACCGTATAGACAAATGATCTTCCAGACGTCCTTCCGGATGAAGCCAGGGCTGAGATTTCCCAGATTTCGTGCATCGGGCCTCTAGTGTAAAATAACTATCTCACCCCCACAGAACCATTCCACAGCCCCATTTCTGCTCAAGGATTCAGTGAGAGGGCTCTCCTCTCCCCTTCCTTAAACAGAGGCCAAGCTGGAGCCAGGGAGAAGCTGTGACTTGTCTCCCTCCCTCGACAGGGAGCAGGTGAGCAAGAGCTGGCAGCTCCCTCCCTGGGGCAGGGTGAGCGGAAAGATTCTCACCTGATGCTCTGTCTCCATCATCTCATCCCACAGCCATCTCAGCCGCAGAGCCAACTTTCCGATGCCCCCAGTCCTCCACCAGCCAGGACAGAGCCCAGAACCACACAGCCCCCCCACCAGAGGGACTAGCCAGGAAGCCATGCTGCCCGGTAGGTACCTTTTCTCTGCTTTTGCAAGACCTACGCTGTCAAAGGAAAATAAAACAGCACGTTTCACAGATGATTACAACAGCAGCACTGCCACTGTCTTCCGCTATCAGACACCCTATCAGCAGCATTCTTACCCCATCTTACTGATGGAGAAACAGACCAGACGGGGAAGCGCTCCGGGCACCCTGACTAACGGGAGAGAGCTGAAAGCCGCCTCAGCCTGTCTCCCAGCATCAGGTGCTCCCCGGGGAGAAAGCTAGACCTTGTTTCCTTCCGAGGTGAGGAGGAAAGAGTGCTCTCGGACTCTGGAGGGAGAGCAGACTGGGATCTCCACCAGCAAGTCTCCCAACCTCCGCTGCTCAGAGCCCCTCTCCGGCCTGCAGCCCGGAGCGCGGGCTCAGGGGCCACCCAGGGTCAACGCTCTCATGAGGACGCCCTGGTCTCCGTGGGTGCGGCCCTTTCTGAAGGTGAGGGAGCAAAGCGGCTGAGTCCAGTCCTGGGGACGGGGGAGGGGTGTGGGGGGGAGGAGGCAGAAGGGGGTTAGGGGAGGAGAAGGGGGAGGGGTGTGGGACTTGGAGCCTCAAAGGTCTTTCTTACAGAGAGGATCCAGGCCACACCACCCTGGAGCCCACCCGGGACTTGGAGGCAGCTCTGGAGACTGGGGATGGGGATGGGGGTGGGGGTGGAACTGGAGGTAGGGAAGGGGCGGGACTCGCCGGAGCCGAGAAAGGAATCCCTCCCTGGAGCACACTGCCCAGAGGGGAAGGGGTGAGGAGGAGGGGAAGGGGTGAGGAGGGGGGGAGGCGGAGTGGTGAGGAGGGAGGAAGGGAAGAGGCGGGGCTGGGGACCAGGACAGTCACTGGGGAAAAGGGGAATGCTGGCTGGGAGTGGGTGACGAGGGAGTGCGAAGTGTGGGAGCGGCAGGGCTGACACCCCGGGCTGGTGGACACAGTGCCACATTCCCCCCTTCCCCCAGATGCTCGCAGTCCCGAATCTCTGCTGGGACATCCTCCCAATGGGCTGGTCCTCGGAACCCGCCCCGCAGTCTCTGCGCTTCATCTCCCCCCCCCCGCCCCCCCCCCCCCGCCTTTCCAGGGCGCAGGGGCCAGGGGGCGTGGCCATACGAAGGCTTGGGGGTCTCAGTACCCCGCGCCCCTCCGGTCCCCGCCCCACGATCCAGCTGCTGGAACAGCTGGACACCCCGCGGCTCACCTCGGGGGGCGGGGTGGGGGGGCTCCTGCCGGCGGCGCGGAGGTCCGGGCGGAGGCAGAGCGCTGAGCCCCCGGCGCGCCCTCTCCGCGGCTGGGACCAGCGGCTGCTGCGCGCCCCCCGGAGGGCAGGGGGCTCGGTCCTAACGGGGAGGGGGGCGGAAGCCAGTCCTCGCACGGAGCACCGCTACCCTCGGAGGCCGGGCCGGGACTCTGCGCACCGAGACCCCTCTCCGAGGGAGACCCCCGGGCGGCCGCGCCCCGCCCCGCCCCCGCCCCGCCGACGTCGCATTAGCATGAGCGACGCCAGTGGCCGGGGCGCCACTCGGGGGCCGGGACTCACCGCGTCACAGCCCCGAGTGGAGAGGGGAAAAGGAGGAGAAGGCGGCGGCGGCGGCGGCGGAGGAGGCAGGAGCCGGCGCTCGGGGCGGGGAGAGCGGCGGCCGGGCGAGCAGCGGGAGTGGGGGCAGCAGCGCGCCCCTCGGCCCGCGTCCTTCTCTCCGCGGCGGGGCGGCTCGGGGGGCGCCGGCGGGCAGCGCGCTCCGCTCCGGCCCCGGCCCCGGCCCCTCCGCGCGCCGCCGGCCCCATCGCCCCTACACGGCGGCGGCGGGCCTGGGGCTCCGCTCGGAACGGCGGCGGCGCCCCGCCCAACAGGGTCCTCGCCTTCCCCGGGGCGCGGGGCCATGAGCCCGGAGGCTGCCTGAGGCTCCGGGGGCGCCGCGCGCGCGGACCGCACCCCGAAGTCCGGAGCGCTCTCCTCTGCCCGCGGGCGCCGCGTCCTCTCTGAGCGGCCGGCGGGCGATGGAGCCCGCGGACCCCGCCCGGGAGGCGGCCGCCAAGCTGTCGGAGGCGGTGGGCGCGGCGCTGCGGGAGCCCCGCAGGCAGCGCCGCCTCTTGCTGGTCATCGTGTGCGTGGCGCTGTTCCTGGACAACATGCTGTACATGGTCATCGTGCCCATCGTGCCCGACTACATCGCCCACATGCGCGGCGGCAGCGAAGGCCCAACCCCGACCCCGGAGGTGGAGGTGGAGGTGACGGCCTGGGCGCCCACCCTGCCGCCGCCCGTCTCGGCCAACGCCAGCGCCGCGGCCAACGGCTCGGAGCCCCCGACGGCCGCGCCGCCCGCCGGGCCCGCCCTGCGGCCCCGCTACCCGACGGAGAGCGAGGACGTGAAGATCGGGGTGCTGTTCGCCTCCAAGGCCATTTTGCAGCTCCTGGTGAACCCGCTCAGCGGGCCCTTCATCGACCGCATGAGCTACGACGTGCCGCTGCTCATCGGCCTGGGCGTCATGTTCGCCTCCACGGTCCTGTTCGCCTTCGCCGAGGACTACGCCACGCTGTTCGCGGCGCGCAGCCTGCAGGGCCTGGGCTCCGCCTTCGCCGACACGTCGGGCATCGCCATGATCGCCGACAAGTACCCCGAGGAGCCGGAGCGCAGCCGCGCGCTGGGCGTGGCGCTGGCCTTCATCAGCCTGGGCAGCCTGGTGGCGCCGCCCTTCGGGGGCATCCTCTACGAGTTCGCGGGCAAGCGCGTGCCCTTCCTGGTGCTGGCGGCCGTGTCCTTGGCGGACGCGGCGGCGCTACTGGCGGTGGCCAGGCCCTTCTCGGCCGCGGCGCGCGCGAGGGCCAACCCGCCGGTGGGCACGGCCATCCACCGCCTCATGCTGGACCCGTACATCGCCGTGGTGGCCGGCGCGCTCACCACCTGCAACATCCCGCTCGCCTTCCTGGAGCCCACCATCGCCACGTGGATGAAGCGCACGATGGCGGCGTCCGAGTGGGAGATGGGCATGGTCTGGCTGCCGGCCTTCGTGCCGCACGTGCTGGGCGTGTACCTGACGGTGCGCCTGGCGGCGCGCCACCCGCAGCTGCAGTGGCTGTACGGGGCGCTGGGGCTGGCGGTGATCGGCGCCAGCTCGTGCGCCGTGCCCGCCTGCCGCTCCTTCGCGCCGCTCGTGGTCGCGCTCTGCGGCCTCTGCTTCGGCATCGCGCTGGTGGACACGGCGCTGCTGCCCACGCTCGCTTTCCTCGTGGACGTGCGACACGTGTCCGTCTACGGCAGCGTCTACGCCATCGCCGACATCTCCTACTCTGTGGCCTACGCGCTCGGGCCCATCGTGGCGGGCCACATCGTGCACTCGCTGGGCTTCGGGAAGCTGAGCCTGGGCATGGGCCTGGCCAACCTGCTCTACGCGCCCGTGCTGCTGCTGCTGCGCCGCGTGAGCCTCATGACTCGCTCCCGCTCCGAGCGCGAGGTGCTGTTGGACGAGCCGCCGCAGGGCCTGTACGACGCGGTGCGCCTGCGGGAGTGCCCGGCGTCCGGCCCCGACGGCGCGCTCCGCAGCCCGCCCGGCCCGTTTGCCGAGTGCGAGGGCGACTACACCGACTACGCCGGCTACGGCGCCCGCAGCTAGCAGCCCCCTCTCCCCGCCGCCGCCTCCAGGGTCCCCGCGGCCACCGAGAGTGCACCCGCCGGCTCAGCCTCAGGGCCTTCCCCCCTAGCTAGCCCCCCGCGCAGGCCCCCGTCCTGACGTCCTAGGCCGCGTCCCCTCGCCATCGCCTTTTCGTGTGTCCCTCTCCCTCTTGCCCGGTGTAGCGAGGAGCAGCGCTGCGGCCTGAGAAGCCATGCACTCCTGGCACAGAAGGGGCGCGCGGGCCTCCGCCTCAGGGCCGCCCTGTGTAGGGCTGTGTGTCTGTCTGTCCTTCCTCCCGTACTTTGGCCTGCTGCACAGCGTTGCCTCTGGCCCAAATCAATAAACTATATCTGTCCCAGACCGTGTCTCTTTACTGGTGGGCTGGGCGGCCAGACGGGGGGAAGGGGTGCGGGGGCGGGGGGAGGGGAGGATGACTTTGGTCCAGTCCCAATCCAAGTCTCAGCGGCCAACACGCGGGAAGCCGGTGTGGCCTTTTTACTACAAGACAGGGAGATACATACGAAGAAACACCCCAACAAGGGCTCTCACCCACCGGCTCCCCATTCACATTCCCCTCCGCCTGTGACAGCTCCTCCTTTCGGGCCCAGCTCAGCGCCCCAGGGTGCCACCCCGAGGAGCCAGGTGTAGGCCCCGCCCCTCTAGGACACGCCCCGGCGTCAGACACCTGCCTCGGAGCACTAGGGAGCGGCTTCCCCTGAGCCGGGTATCCTACCTGGGCTAGATTCTCAGAAAGGAGCAGGGGCGGGGCTGTTCCGGGCAGAAGTCCCATCTCCGGAATGTGTGTGCTGTGTGCTCGTTAGAGAGCCGGGCTCTATCCTAAGAGCAGTGGGGAAGCGGTTGTCTGGCTGTGTCCTTGCCTGTGGGTCTGAGTGGACCAGAGTGGGATCTGATGCTAACCCCCACCTCCCCAGCCAACTCCACCCCATCCTGGGTGGAAACTGCCATCCAGGATTGTCAGAGAGGTCTTCCCACCTGGAATGCGGGTCCCGGGAGCCCCAGTCCTAGAGCCTACGGCCTGCCTAAGGCAGAGTGCCCCCACTCCAAGGTGGACAGGACCCCTGGTTCAGCACCTGTGATCAGCGGAGGCCTGGAGGGACCTGCAGGGCTGTGTGTGGGGCAGTGTGCGGTGTGCAGGGCTGTGTGCGGGGCTGTTTGTGGGGCTGTGTGCGGGGCTGTGTGCAGGGCAGTGTGCAGGGCTGTGTGCAGGGCTGTGTGCGGGGCTGTGTGCAGGGCAGTGTGCAGGGCAGTGTGCAGGGCTGTGTGAGCAGGGCTGTCGTGCGTGTCTGGCTGTGCTGCTGTTGGGCAGGGTCTGTCTTTGTGGGTCAATCTGCGAGGATCCACAAGGAGGTGGGGGAGGAGTGCTTTGTCTGCAGGAGCGTTTGCCTCTGGCTGCCCGTCTCTAGGCATCCCCAGGTCTGTATCTCTCCTACCCCAGTACGGCTTGGGAGGGGGGCTGCAGTGATTAACAAACGGCGGTTATCATTATTTTGAAGGGAGTTGCATATAGTAGGGCTTGAGCCTGACGGAGACCGTGGGGAGAGCACAGTTTTCCCCAGACTCACCCTCCCCAGGGCTTTGCAGACGCAGTGGCGGCCAGGATAATAGGGGGGCGGGCCGGGCGGGGGGGGCTGGGCGGGGGCCATGGGCACGGGTGGGGCAGGGCAGCGTGCTGCACGCCCTTCGCTGCTGAGGACTCTGCTACCCTGTACCAACTGGTCCCGGCTGGGCGGGGAGCCGGGAGGTGGGATCCGGGAAAGCTGCGGGGAGTGGGAGGTGGGGGACAGAGGACGGAGAGGGAGGAGGGAGGGAGGGTGGGGCTGGGGGAGGGAGGGGAAGAAGAGAGGGGCGGGAGGAGGAACAGGAGAAGAGGACAGGCGCGGCGGATCGCTGGCAGCCTGCAGGTTGGGAGCCGCGGGGACCGGACCACGTCGTCGGAGGCTCTGCCACCGCCGACAGAGGCAGCAGCCCTCACCCTCGCTCTGCCGACGCGCCCCCCAGATCCCTTCAGCCCCCCTCCTGGCCCCCGTGCTGCTCCGGGCGGCAAGGCGCGGCCGCGGAGAGCAGGTGAGAGGCTGGGCTGGCGCGGGGCGCAGAGGGGGCTCCGTCCAGAGCCAGCCGGACCGCACGCCCGGGACCTCGAGTCCTCCAGGTCTGGATCGGCAGCGGGTGGTGGGGCCGCCCGGAGACTGGGCCTCCTCAGCTCCGGCGCTCACCCACCAGAGGGGGGCAGGGGGCGGGGAGCAGGACGCTGAGACGTAGGGGGACGAGGGCTTGGAGAGGCTTGGCCATCGGAGCACTGGCTCCACATGCATAGCTTCTCCTGGGTCCCATCTGCTGCGAGCCAAGGGCTGCCCCTTCGGTGCCAGGAGGAGGGTCTGCAGGTCTCACCCTGCCACCCTGAAGGACCCTCCAGCGCTTGCCTCTCTCCCGTCCTGGAAGAGGCAGGAGGTGGGGAAAGGGCGTCAGTAGCTAGCGGGGGCCAGGTTTGGGAGGTTAAAGGGGGGCTGGCGGGGAGTCGCTGGAGCACAGGTGCCGGCAGGGCTGGGTTAGGTCCCTGGGGCAGAGCCAGATCTCTCCGGGAAGCTGTTGGAAGCCAGGAGGGCACCAGACAGACACCTATGCTCTCTAGACGTCCAAGCCAAGGAGGAGGAGCAGCAGGTTAAGGGCAGGGGCCGCCCGTGGCTCCCATGAAACCATGTTGCTTTGCCCTGTGAGCCGCTCTGAGACCAGGCTCTCTGAGGTTTGGCTAGTAGGTACCTTCCAGCTATGGCGTTGGCCCCGGGTCAGAGCAAGAGGAAGCATGGGCTGCACTGTCTTTAGAGCCTTTACCAACCTGACCTTCCCCTGTTGCCCCCTCAAAACCTTGCATATGGGGGTTGGACCCTCACCTGGATACTGCTGCTTCCTGGGTAGGCAGGGCAGCCCCTAAACTGCATGGTGCTGGCGGTTCGGGGGACCACCGAGCCCGGAGCACACTGGTATAGTGCTCTGAGGACCCTCCATTCTCTGCCTGGAGCTTCCAGGTGGCCCCGGGCACCTTCATCACTGTTTCAGAGTCACCCCTCTCCTTGGATGCTCTGTCCTTGGGTCAACTGTGCCCCTGCCCAGCCCCAGATGGACTGAACCTAGGGTCGGGGTGCAGGGAAGCAGGGTTGGGGGAAATGGGCGAGTAGAAAGCATGGGGGTCTCTACAGGCTTACATTAGCTTAGAGGGATCTCTGAGGGTAGAGGTTGGGTCCTACTAGCCTTAATACCTGGCCTTTGCTCCCCCTTGGTCTGGCTCACTTCTGCTGCCTCTTCCAAATTAATCTCCAGACTATTAGGTGGCCCCCAGGGGACTGGGCTGCCAGGCTTCCCTGGACCACCTCCCTTAGCACTCCTATGCCACCTGCACTGGGAACCTGCTGGCCAGAGGCGGCCCAGGCACAGCCCACCCCACAGCACCAGGGCTTTGCGTTCACTGAGGTATCACTCGTGCACACAGGCGGTGCTTTCACTCAGCTCCCATGTGCATCCTGCTCATGCACCTGCTAGGTCCCAGCGATGAGGCACTGAGCATGCCGCCTGGAAAAACTCGAAGCCAGTGAGAAAGAGATTTTAATCTGCAAATCACACATCTATTGGGCCCCACGCAAGAACAAAGCAAGCACTCTGTCCATACCCCTTGTGGGTGAGGAGTGGGCAAGCCCAGCCCTGCTCCCTCCCACATTGCCCTGGGGGAATCAGGTGGGCCCATGCGACAGCAGTCTGATGGAGTAGGTACCAGCTGGAGGCTCACTTCATGCCCTGCCCTCTTTTATTTGGGGGCTCAGAGAGGACACTGTGCAGGACGGCTGGTCTGGAGGCGAGGAGATTGGGGCCAGGCCAACAAAGAGACCCATGTACATTACTGTCCAGCTGTGGCCCCCCCTCAGGGTGTAGCAGGAGATGAAAGGCAGGTCTAAGGCTGCTGTGTTGATGGCTCTCTGCTTCAACAGATCTGCACTCTGTTTCCTCAGCCACAAGTCACCAAGATGCCCATCCTGGAAAAAGCGCCTGAGAAGATGGCAGCAAAAACTCTCAGCAGTGAGGAGGAAAAGGTGAGTAACTTTTGGAGCTCTCTCACTTATCCCTACTCTCCCCACTCACGTGCCCTTGGCTTCCAGAATAATCCTGAATGGGATTTGCCCACAGCACTTTCCTGATCTCAGCCCTCCCCTCTCCTGGGCAGGAGGCCCAGGCTGCATCCCTGCCTGAGCCCGTTGAGGAGCCTGGAGGGCTTGGAGGCTCTAGGAACAGCTTCAAGGTGCCTCAACTTTTGTGGCAGGGGTTCAGGATCTGAAGAAGGGACTGATGCACAAGTGAAAACATTAGACAAGAAATATGAATGTAGAAGGCATGGGGGCCAGGTGGAGACCTCTCTCTGTAGAGGCACACTGACACCTGGCCTTGTCCGCTTTTCACTCAGTTTTAGATGCACATCTTGCCCTCAGTAAAGCACGGCAAACAGGTAGCAGACAGACCATCTCTAAGGACAATAAAGATCAGTAAAGATCGGCGAGGTTCAGTAAACGTTGAGGCTAATTAGGTGAGGAAATTGATTTGTGCCATCACTATCTCAACAGAACAATAGTGCTTGCACTAGTCCTGCTAAGACCAAGGTCCACCGGCCTTCTGAGTTCCTTGATTCACTCTCATGATAGTATGGACGGTGGGTGACTTGCCGCATCAAGGGGAATGCTGATAGGCACATTCCCTAACCCCAAAGTCCAGGGAGAGCCCATGACCTGGGCCAGATACTTTTATCTCCCAGGACTTCCCTGACCCCAAGCTCCACTTCCAATGGCTCTGAGCCCAGGAGAGTTGGCTTAGGTAAGCCGTGCCACATCCCAGCCCTGGCTATTGTCACTAGTTCAGCCCTGGAGCTGCAGGCACCATCTTTCCCACTGACCTGAGACAAACCTCCCTCCCGGGAAGGCCTCCTCCCTCCCATTCCACTGACCTCAGAGTGACAGAGCACATCTGTTCCCCACAGTGTCGCACGTGTGTGTCCCTTTGCCACACTTGTCTTCTTAACATCTCCTTGACAACCACACCACTCCCCTTTCCCCACCCTCGCATCCACCACCATAGAGAGGAGAAACCCCTGAAAGAAGGCAGCCAACTTTGTGAAATTTAAGCGGTAATATGAAAATTCCTGGTTTCCAATTGTGGCCAGCTAAGTGAGGAAGGAAGGGGGTAGAAAAGAGAGCGAGGGAGATGGAAGAGAATAGCCGAGGAAGGAGCAGAATGAATATTGGATGAAGATTGATTTCAGGTCTCAGCTCTGCCACCAAATTGCTGGATGACCTGGGACTATCCACTCTCTGGGCCTAAGTTTCCTCATCTGTCAACGGGGCTAAGCCATAACCTGTGAGACCCCCGGAGAACACAGCTGGTAAGCTGGGAAGTACAGGGCCCCCAGAGATTATGAGATTCCTCTTGGGGATTCCTCTGGAAGGATCAGGACAGTAACATTGTAACATGTAATGATGTGCCCATTTGGGGCCAGTTGCTTCTCTCATTTCATTCTCTGCGGGCCCCTCTGAGGTAGGACCTGTCATTTATGTTCTATCCATGAGGAAGCTGAGACTGAGAAAGATTAAGAGAGAGAGGACTTCCACATCACCCCACCCCTGTACCCACACGAAGCAGAACCCCCTGTCTGGGTTTCATAACTGCAAGGGATTGAATAAGGAGCCCAGAGCATGAGTCACCTTCCCAGGAAACATCGTGCAGAATTCTGGTCATTAGGACAAGCAACGACCGACATCCCCACCCTTTTCCACCTGTCCACCGCTCTCCATTAGAGTCAATCGGATGCTGGAGCTCCAGCTGGGAACAGTTCCTAAATTAAGAATGACCAGCAATCACTATCAATAACAGGACAATTTCATCTTAGACTCATTCACTGTAGTTGATGGGCCTTTCGCATCAATGATCTCTTATCCTAAAGAGATGAAGGTTATTGATGCCATCTGACAGGGGAGAAAACTGAGGCACAGAGATAGGGATGATTTGTTTAAGATCAGTCAGTCAGCAGCAGGGTCAGGGATGAATCCAGGTCTTTTCCTCTGCACTTTTTTCCTTTGGGGTCAGAGCTGGGGTATGGGAGAGAGCAAACAGGAACCTCCTAAGTTCACAGTTCTGCTGAGCTGAGCAGAGCCCTGGAAACAGACGAGTCTCAGGATAGGAAGCAAGAATGGTAGCAGATGCAGACAGACCCTAGGCATCGACTTGGACAGGCCTGGGCCACACATGACAGACAGGCACAGTAAGACCTGTGACCCTCTTTTCCAGGAGCTGCCCAAACTCCCGGTGCCCCCCCTGCAGCAGACCCTGGCCACGTACCTGCGGTGCATGCAGCACCTGGTGCCCAGGGAGCAGTTCCAGAGGAGTCAGGCTATCGTGCAGCAGTTTGGAGCCCCGGGGGGCCTGGGTGAGAACCTGCAGCAGAAGCTCCTGGAACGGCAAGAGAAGACTGCCAACTGGGTAAGCATCGCTGGGAGAGGGCTGACTGGGGGCGGGGGCAGGCAAGGGAGCCGTGGGTCAGGAGGCAGTCTTGGAGACAGAGGGTTGTGGGTGAGAGACAGGTAGGTGACAAAGACAGGGCAGATGGGGCACAGGGATGGGGGAGAGAGGAGAGGGGTCAGGGCAAGGCTGAAGGGCAGGCTTGTGGGCTCTGAAACATGACCCTAGCACATAGCTAGGTGCAGTATATGCTTGTGGAATAAATGAATGAATGAATGAATGAAGTGCGTGATCCATTGAAGTGTCCCGATTGGCCCTCAGGGCTGCCAGGATGTGATCAGTGCGCTCCACAGGCAAGGTGCCTTTCTGGGAGGGGTGTGTGTGGCCCTTGTGGGTAATGGCTCCCCTCCCCTGCTCTCCCGCAGGTGGCTGAGTACTGGCTGAACGACATGTATCTCAATAACCGCCTAGCCCTGCCTGTCAACTCCAGCCCCGCTGTGATCTTTCCCCGGCAGCACTTCCAGGACACCAATGACCAGCTCAGGTGAGGCCCCTGCTCCCGCTCACAGCGGGGGAGCTGCCTGAGGAAGTCTTAGCCCAGGCACCAGGAAGGAAAGGCTGAAGCTCAGTCTGGGCAGAGCTTTCTGAGGCCAGGTGGCGCTGAGATGGGGCGGCCCAGGCTGTGAGGTCAGGAAGGAAGTTAGGTGAGGCTGCCCCTGAGGAACAAACACAGGTCTGCCTCCGAGGCATTTATTTGGAGGACACGGGCGCCCCGGTGTCCTCATAGCAATCTTGACCTGGCTGAGGCCCTGAGAGAAGGTGGGTCCCCTCTGATCCTGCCAGCACCTGAGGCTGGGATTGTCTGTGGGACACATTGCCCAGGTGATCTGAGAGGTCCCTGCAGCCCCCAGCTCCAAACAGAGGCTCCGAGGAGTTGGCAAAGGTTTCCTCCCGCCAGCTGCCTTCGCCAGAGCCCGTGCCATCTGCTGCAATCTCCCGGCTCACTGAGCCGCTGCAATGGCCTCTGGGCCCGCTGATGACGATGGAGGGACCATTCACGCAAGGGTGGGGCAGGACGAAGGATCTCCCTGCAGCAGCCACTGAGCTCCAAATCCAGTCTCTGGGTTTAAGACCTGAGTGGGACACAGTGCAGGACAGTTCAGGGGAGGAAAAGAACAGAGGGCAGGACCCGTCACCCAGAGGCGGGATTCAGCGATGGTTGGGAGATCCCAGTCCGTCCTTCCTCACCAAGACCAGTCCAAAGGTCTGGGAGCACCTTACCCCTCCCCTATAGCCAGCCCCCCCCAACTCCCCCCCCCCCCCCCCGGCAAAAGGAAGTGAGTGAATGGATGAACAACTTCTGAGAACAGTTCTCAAAATCGCACCGGAGCGGGCATTTTCCTCCTGATGCAATTAAGCCGGGCTCATCAGCCATGAGCAGTAAAGGTGACACCATTCATGGCACAGTTCTCTGGTGTGCTTTCCTTCAGCACCCACTTCCTGTTCATTATCACTGAGGGGACCAAATTGCTGACTTTCCCCAGGTGACAGAATTGCCCAAAACCCAGGGTGCTCGCCCAGGCCAGCCCAGCACGAGCCTTTCCTGGGCAGATCCCCTGCTCTTCCAGCCCTTTCCAGAGGCTCTGTGCCTCTCCTGGCTTCCTCTCCCTCCTCCTTTGCCTCCTCATTCACTTTCTGGTTTCCTCTCCTCCCCGAAGTTCTCTCCAGGGCACCGTTTTTAATCCAAAGCTGTGAAGTGCTGACAGCATAGAGGTGGGGAGGGGCAGCAGGTAGCCCATCTTCTTAGGGCAGCACTCAGACCTGGCATCTGGGGGAGGGGGGGTGGTCATTGAGTTTGGGAGAGATAGAAAGACTGAGGGGGAAATGGAAGGAAGGATGTGGGGAGAAAGAAAGAAGGAAGGAAAGAAGGAGCAAGGGAGAGTGGGAGGTTGGGCCCCGGAGAGGAGAGGCTAAGGCTTCATCTCTCTGCAGGTTTGCCGCCAACCTCATCTCGGGAGTGCTCAGCTACAAGGCCATGCTGGACAGGTAGGACTGGGCGCCGCCTGCGAGAGGCAGTGCTCCGGATTCTCCTCTCTCCAGGCCACAATACACAAGGAGCTCTGAGGGCAGTGACCTTGACATTTTTCAGCTCTGTGTTCCTGGCTCCTGTCAGAGTAGGTGGTACCACACCCACCCCAGCATCAGAATGACCTTTACCCAGCTGTCCCAACCACCAATAGTTCCTTTTCCTGGTGTAAGCACTATCCTGCCTGGATCCCTTTAAAATGTCCCCCTTCCTCCATACCTTATATGTACACACGAGCATGTGTACCAGGAATCTGGAGCTCACACAGGAGAAGGGGGAGAAGGGTTGTAGGAGCAGGACAGGTGAGTCAGCCCTGCCACCTGCTACTTGAGGTGCGGTTCTCCTCAGCCCAAGCCTGTTTACGTGGCTTCAACCCTGCATTCCTTTCTGCCTCAATCAAACAATCCCCGTGGTGTTTGTAAATATGAAATGTTTGTAAAACATTACAAAAATTAATTAGTAAAAAAATGGTACCAAGTATGAGATCACTTTTTGTTAATTAATGTCTTATTTTATTTTTAAATTACAGTTTACATTCAATATTATTTTGTATTAGCTTCAAGTGTAAAGATGAGTGTTTATAGACAATCGTATACTTTACAAAGTGTTCCTCTTGATATTTCTAGTAGCCAACTGGTTCCATATATAGTTATTATAACATATCCCTGTGACTATTTTGATCTATCAGTCTGTACTTTTCGATTCCTTCACCCTTTCACCCAGTTCCCCAACACACCCCTCTCCTTTGACAACTATCAGTCTACTGTCTGCATCTATGAGTCTGTTTCTGTTTTGTTTATTCATTTCTACTGCTCTTTAGATTCCATGTATACCTGAAATAATATACTCTTTGTTTTTCTCTGATTGACTTATTTCACTTAGCATAACACTCTCTAGGTCCAACCATGCTGTAGCAAATGATAAGATTGCTTTCTTCTTCATGGTGGAGTAAAATCCCATTGTGTATATGTACCAGCACTTTTTAATCCATTTGTCTATTGATGGGCACTTGGGTTGCTTCCATATCTTGGCAATTATACATATGCTTCAATGAACATGAGGGTGCATATGTTCATTTGAATTAGTGTTTTGAATTTCTTCAGATACATTCCCAGAAGTAGCATGATGAGGTCATAAGGCAGTTAAGTTTTTAATTTTTCAAGGAACTTCCATATTTTTTTTTTATAATGGCTGTACCAATTTTAAATTCCATCAACAGTGAAAAAAGTTTCCCTTTTCTACACATTCTCATCAACACTTTTTTGTTGTTGATTTAGTGATGATAATCTTTCTGACAGCTGTGAAGTGATATTTCATTGTGGTTTTAATTTATATTTCTCTGATGATTAGTGATGTTAAGCTTTATGTGTCTATAGGCCAGCTGTATGTCCTCTTTGGAGCAGTATCTATTTAGGCCCTTCACCAATATTTAAAATTGGTTGGTTGTTTCTTTGGTGTTGAATTGTATAATTCAACATTTTGGATATTAACCCCTTATCAGATGTATTGTTGGCAAATATGTTCTCCATTCAGTGGGCTGTCTTTTTCATTTTGTTGATGACTTCCTTTGCTGTGCAAAAATTTTTTAGTTTGAGATAGTTTCATTTATTTATTTTTTCTTTTGTTTCCCTTGCTCAAGGAGATATATATGAAAAAAATATTGCTACAAGAAATACCCAAGATTTTACTGCCTAACTTTTGTTCTAGGATTTTAATGGTTTCAAGTCTTACACTTAAGTGTATTCCATTTTGAGTTTATTAGTGTATATGGTGTAAGAAAGTGGTCTAGTTTCATTTTTTGTATATATCTTGTTCAATTTTTTCAACATTATTTATTTAATAGATTGTCTTTAACCCATTATATATTCTTTCCTCCTTTGTCATGTATTAATTGACCATATGGGCATGAGTTTATTTTTTGAGATCTTTATTCTGTTCCATTGATCTATATGTCTGTTTTTATGCCAATACCATGCTATTTTGATTACTATGGCATTGTAGTATAGTTTGATATGAGGTAGAGTGATTCCTCCAACTTTGTTCTTCTTTCTCAAGATTGCCGTGGCTATGTGGGGTCTTTTGTGATTCTATATAAATTTTAGGGTTATTTGTTCTAGTTCTGTGAAATACACCATTGCTATTTTAATATGAATTGTGTTGAATCTATGGATTGCTTTGGGTAGTACAGACATTTTTACAATGTTATTTTTTTAATTCATGAGCATGGTGTTTGCTTGGTTTTATTTTTATTTTCTCTTCAGTGTTTCATAATTTTCCAAATACAATTTTACCTCCTTGGCTAAATTTATTCCTACATATTTTTATTTTATTTTATATTATTGTAAGTGGGATTGTTTTCTTAGTTTCCCTTTCTGACAGTTCATTTTTAATATATAAAAATGCAACCAATTTTTGAATATTTATTTTGTATCCTGCTTCTTTACTGAATTTATAAGTTAGTTTTAGTAGTTTTTGGTGGAGTCTTTAGGGTTTTCTATATACAGTATTATATCATCTGCAAATAATGACAGTTTTACTTCTTCCTTTCTAATTTGGATGCCTTTTATTTATTTTTTCTTGTCTGATTGCTATGACTAGGACTTCCAATACTATACTGCATAAGAATGGTGAAAGCAGACATCCTTGTCTTGATCTCGAATTTAAACTAAATACTTATAATTTTTGCCTGCTGAGTATATGATTATTGGCTGTGGGTTTGTCACATATGGCCTTTATTATGCTGTGATATGTTCCCTCTGTTAGAAATAAGGCGAGCCCCTAAATTTGGGGGTCCTGGTAGAACACAAAGCATACTGGGGAGCCAGGCAGCAAGGCAAACATCTTTGCTCCTGCAGGAGGGTGTGCAGTACATGGTCTAGGAGCACACACACACTGAGCAGGCAGTGGGCTCAGCTTTTTAATTCTGACGCTCGTGACCTGCCCCTCATTCTCAATTGGAGCTCAGGTGCATAGTCTTTAACCACTGGCTAATTCAAAGAAAGGGGTTGACCTTTGTCACTTTAAGATGGCGGCCCCCAAGGAACTACAAGTCATGTGGCCAATATGGCAGCTACTAAGTAACATGAGCAAACATGGCGGCTGTCTAAACTGTTCCTTGACAGAAAAGATTACTTGTTTATTCTCACACTTCTATTCCCACTATCCTGAGAATTTTTTATTATAAATGGGTCCTGGACTTCATTAAATATTTTTTTTTGCATCTATTGGCATGGTTATATGGTTTATTCTTCATTTTGTTTATGTGGTATATCACATTTATTGGTTTGCATATATTGTACCAACCTTGCATCCCTAGAATAAATCCTACTTAATCATAGTATATAATATTTTTAATGTATTGCTGGATCTGGTTTGCTAATATTTTGTTGAGGATTTCAGTATCTATGTTCATTAAGGATATTGGCCTATAATTTTTTTTTTTAATTCTCACTTGCGGATATTTTTCCATTGATTTTCAGAGAGAGTGGAAGAGAGAGGAAAAGACAGAGGAAAATATCAATGTGAGAGAAATGCATGGATGGTTGCCTCCTGTGCAAGCCCCAAGGAGCCTGCAACAGAGGTACATGCCCTTGACCAGAATCAAACCTAAGACCCTTTGGTTCACTGAGCCAAACACTCTGTCTACTGAGCCAAACAGGCTAAGGCTGTCCTATAATTTTCTTTCTTTGTAGTGTCCTTATCTGGTTTTGGAATTAGGAGAATGTTGGCCTTGTAAAATGAGTTTGGAAGTCTTCACTACTCTGGATTTCCTTGGGATCATTTAAGAAGGTTAGGTGTTGTTTCTTCTTTGAGTGTTTGGTACAATTCACCTGTGAAGCCATTGTCTGGTCCAGGACTCAGGTTTGTTGGAAGTGTGTGATTCCTACTTCAATTTTATTAGTTGTAATTGTCTATTCAGATTTTCTGATTCTTCCGATTCCATTTTTGGAAGACTGTATGTTTATGGGAATTTATCCATTTCTTCCACTTTGTCCAATTGGTTGACATATGCTAGTAGTTGTTCATGCTATTTTCTTATCATCCTTTGTATTTTTGTGCTGTCAGTTGTTACTTCTTGGTTTTCATTTCTGATTTTATTTATTTGGGCCCTCTATATTATTATTGATTTTTTACAGAGAGGAATAGAGAAGGATAGAGAGTTAGAAACATTGGTGAGAGAGAATCATCGATCAGCTGCCTCTTGCACACCCCCTATTGGGGATGTGCCCACAACCAAGGTACATGCCCTTGACCAAAATCGAACCTGAGACCTTTCAGTCCACAGACCGATGCTCTATCCACTGAGCCAAACCAGTTTTGGCATGGGCCCTCTATCTTTTTTCCTTGCTGAGTTTGATTAAAGGTTTGTCAATATTGTTTATCTTTTCAAAGAACCAGGTCTCAGTTTCATTGAGAACCTTAAAGATTCCACCAAAACATTACTATTAACTGATAAATAAATTCAGTTAAATAATAGAAAACAAATATTCAGAAATGGTTGCATTGTTTTGTATTTTTTAGGTTATATTTCATATATTTTCACTCTGATATTTATTATTTTACTTCTTCTACTGTCTTTGGGCTTTTTTCCTCGTTCTTTTAGGTGTAAGGTTTGGTTGTTTATTTTAGATTTTTTCCTGTTGTTTTGAGATAGGCCTGTAATGCTATGATTTTTCCTCTTAGGTAGGTTTGCTTTTGCTGTGTCCCTTAGATTTTGTATTGTGTTCCCCCTTTTATTTGTGTTAAGGTATTATTTTTATTTCTTCCTTGATCTCATTGTTAACTCATTCATTGTTTAGTAACGTGTTGTGTGTTTTTCATGGTTTTTTTCTTCTTATAATTGATTTCTCATTTCAAAACATTATGATCAGAGAAGATGTCTAACATGACCAGTCTTCTTAAATTTATTGACTTGTTTTATGTTCTAACATGTGATGAGACCACTTTTATTATTGGATGCAAAGACATAAGATTCCTGCTACAAATGTTTCTATAAGATCCTCCTGTTGTAGGTTGGTCTTTACAGTTCAGTTCAATACTCACGCTTGGAGCAGCAGGGTGGTGGGACATCCACCCAGAGACCTGATTGCCCCCCAGCTCTTCTCATGGCTGCCTCTTACCCTCAGGGCTCAGCTCACATATCCAGTCATCAGCAAGACTGTCTCTGGCCACCTTGACACCCTAGCTCACTACCCGAAACCCTCCCATTTACCAGTTTGCTGCTTGTTATCTGTGCCCCACTGACATATTCCAGGACCTGCACCCCATTAGAACAGGAAACTCATCTCTTGTTTGCGACTATATCTTTCCAGATCCCAGAATGGTGCCTACCACAAAGGAGTGCTGGGTAACATTCGTTGTCTGAAAGGTTAGAGGGAAAGAAGGGGAGAGAAACATGGAGGAGAAAGAGGAGAAAGAGGGAAAAGGAGGGAGGAAAGACATAAGACATGCTGAGACCACAGGGAAAAGAGAATATTCTGCCTTGAACTTAGAGGAGGCTTCTAGAAGAGATGATGGACTAGAAGGGGTTTTCTAAACAAATTAGCTGAGCACAAGGTGGGGATGAAGGCATCTAAGTAAAGATTAGCATAAGAAAGGCAAAGGGGGCTGATTGGGTAAGATCTGCACTGAAGTGCATGAGGCAGGAATGAGGGAGACTAATGAAGGTGCAGGAAATTCCCAAGGATCTTTTTGGCCATGGAAATGAGCATTCCCCTACTTTAAAAAGTGGAGGTTTAAGCTCTTTGACTGCCATCATAGTGCGGTTCTCATTTCTGTGCCTCACTTTGCCTAATCAAGTTGCAGTAGAACCAATTCTGACTTCCTGCCTTGCTCCCCACTCTCCCCCTCCAGTCACTCCATCCCCACTGATTGTGCCAAGGGCCAGCTGTCAGGGCAGCAGCTCTGTATGAAGCAATACTACGGCCTCTTCTCTTCCTACCGCCTCCCTGGCCACATCCAGGACACACTGGTGGCCCAGAAGAGCAGTGTCATGCCTGAGCCAGAGCACATCATTGTGGCCTGCTGCAACCAGGTAAGCACCCCCCGCTGAGGCAGCCTTAGGGCCCAGGGAGGACACATGTGTGCTCAGGCACTCCTGCTTTTCCAAGAGTGCTCACCCCCTCCCAGAACCACACAGTGAGCTGGGGCAGAGTGGCCCCAAAGTGGGACCTCCACACTCCCTGTCAGTTCCATTTCTTTCCATTGGTTGGATTTTCAGAATGAGGAGAGTCATCGATTAAGAACACCTTCAGTGGGCTCCCATTCCAGCCTGACCCTCCAGGTCAGGTCAAAGAGTTGCCTGGATAATGGACTCAGGGTCATTAATGAGACCCTGCAAGGCCCCAGACCCTCCACATGCAGTGACCAAGGCCATGACCTTCCCAGAAACTATACAGACAGACAGCTTTGCAGATTGTTGGGACCTCCTTACCTTTTTATCTGCACTCACTATAGTGTGTTTGAGATCTATCCCTATAGCTGAATATGGAACTAGTTCGTGTGTTTTTTTACTGCTGGGTAGGCATGCACTGGACAAGTACATACATTTTACTTAGCATTCTCCTAGAGGAGACATTTAGGTTCTCTCTGCCATTTTGTTGCTGCAACCTGCTCATATGTACGTTCCCATATACTTGATAAGAACAGGAGAAGAAAGGGCATGGGGAGTAGGGCACAAGGGTATATGTTTCTGTAAGGTTTAGGCTAAAATATATATTTATAAGCACAATTGCTGTATGCACATTTTTAGTTTTAATAGACACTGTCCCCCAACAATGGTTGTGCCAATTTATACTCAAGTTCCCATAACTGTAATGCTTTTATAAGCACTAAGAACCACAACAGCAAGGGTTCATTTTGCTAAGTTTAATGTGAACTTCTTTGAATTGGAGCAGCTTGACGTCCAGCACAGTTAACAAAGTTGAGGTGGTCCCCAAATTGTGTCTACTCGGAGCCATGACTACATGGGAACCTTGGGCCTCCACATCTCTGTCCATTCTCAGATCTGTGGGTTCAGTGAAGGCCTGGCACCTGGCCCGGCTGCCGTGAGTGATATGTTTGACCTGTTTCCCCACAGTTCTTTGTCTTGGATGTTGTCATTAATTTCCGCCGTCTCAGTGAGGGGGATCTGTTCACTCAGTTGAGAAAGATAGTCAAAATGGCTTCCAACGAGGACGAACGCTTGCCTCCAATCGGCCTGCTGACATCAGACGGGAGGAGCCAGTGGGCTGAGGCCAGGACAGTCCTCGTGAAAGGTCAGCCGCAGTGCCCAGCACATCTCCACGCCCATCTCATCCTCACGTCCATTGGCTTTCCCACCTCCAGAGTCGGGAACCATGCCTCATCCTCATCTGCCATCGCACTGGAGCTGAGGCCTCCCTCCAACTCAGGACCCGGTGGCAAGTCTTGCTGTCAGTTGAGGTTGCTTGAACCTTTGGTACCTTCTTATTTCATCTGACCATGCTCCAACTTTGGGTGACACTGGCTAGTCCTGGAATCCTGGGATGTTCCTGGGGCGGGAAGCTTTTGAGCTGGAGGAAGGCTGGCAGCAATGAAGCAGTTATGTTTTACTTGTCGGAAGGGGTGGTTCTTATTTGAGAGGTCTGAGTTACTGGGAGAGCCATCAGATGAGGATTCAGGATGGAGCCCACCTCTGGGAGGGTGGTTGGCTGCCTTCTTTATATGAATTTTTGGTTCTAAACTTTTCATCATTAAGCTGAGAGTTTCCAAGCACCCCAAAAAGAAATCCAGTTATAGTCTTAACATTTTAAAATCATCCTTCTGGAAACTACATGTCAAGTCCAAAGCCAGCTCTGTTGCCAGGAACTGGGAGAGCCTTCCTTTCTTGCCCATATTAGAGACTCCTGGATGAGAGGTCAGACTTCCATAAGCTTTCATCTGCCCCTCAGGTTTTCATTTGGCCAGGTGTCTATCTAAACTCCCCAAGTGTCTGCAAGCTGAAGACTGTGGTAGGCCTGGAGAGTGTAAGAGATAGAGAGGACGAAGTACTCTCCAGCCCACTAGTAAAGAGCAGGGAATAGAGGGCATGGGGGAGCAGGTTCAAATACACAGTAATGCAATATTTACCCATGTAAGGTAGCAGAGACATCAGTGCCCAATAAGCGAGTCAGGATTTCAGAGCAGGAAGGGAGCCCTTCTAATTGGGAAGCTTTCAAAAGACTTTGTTGGAAGAGGTGGAAATTGTGCAAATCCCTGTGAGATGAGTGAGAGCTGCAGGAGGATGGGTGACATACAGGCTGGCAGACTAGGGGTGGGTAAAGTGGACTGCCCATCAGGGACATCTGCCCTGCCCAGTACCATGAGGAGAGCAGAGGGCTGGCAAAGTGGCCATGCTGACCGTACTGGTAGAGTGAAGAGGGAGCAGGCCTGGTTCTCTGGCAATAGGCGCTGCATTTTCTTGTTCCTTCCCTAGAACGTTTGTCCACCAGGGCTGTCTGGCTCTTTGCACTGTCCAGAGCGAAGCTCAGCTTCAACACCTCAGGTCTTCCTTGAGCATTTATCCCCAATCATATTCTGTCCATTGGCCCTGTTTTCTCCTCTTGATTGCATTTTTTTTTTACTACGCACACTTTTCCATTTGCTTGATTCCTGATGATTATCTGCTGCCCTCCCACAGTCAATAAGGTCCAAGAGAACTTTGAACCTGCTCTGCCAATTATAATAGGGGCCCAGTTGTATTTGTTAAATAAAAGAATGAAGGGTTCTTAAGAAAACTGGGGCCCAGACTTATTTCCTGCTTACCAATGAACTATTATTTTATTCAATTATTGGGCACCTGTGAATTCTTGGTTTTAAATCAGGGTTGCACAGGCCACAGAGAAGTTTGAGAGCTGAGCCTGTTCTCATGAACTGAGCCGCCAAATGGGAGAATTAATAACATCATTTGAAAGTGAGTTCATTCCCTCAGTAGACCAATCAAATTCCCCTCTTCTCCCCTCCGGGGACAGTGACAGGAATCAAAATAATCACTTTTGCTTCCAGTACGGTTTCCACTTTATTAGCAGGCCAGGCCAAGCCATCTCCCTGCAGGACTGCCAGGAATTGCCTAGAGGTCTCAATGCTTGGGTTGCCCTAATCGGAATTAATTTGTTAATGGCACTTGATCTGGTTTTCTGAATGGAAGTACTGTTTCTGGGGGAAGCGTGACAGAAAGGAGGGGGTGCACACGCCTTGCCTTTGGGAATTCAATTAATCCAGTTAGCACAGACTGTGTGGCAGGAAACCATTTCTTCTCTGGAGCAGCTCTTTTCTACAGAAGGCAAAAGGGAATACCATTTAGAAAACAGTTTCAGTGTAAAAGTAAAATATTATGACAGCTTGGGTAGGATTAGAAGGGAGGATGGAAAGACAGTAGTGGGTCTAGATACGTTTCAACATAGAAGAAGAAGGATAAAAGAAATGAAAAGTGTTTCCAGATCTTTTATTTGAGCAACTGAATAGATGGTGGTTCTATTCGCTAAGATGGGAATCAGGTTGAGACAGTGGCTTTGAAATGGAGAAGTCCTTTCCACGTATGTCAGGTCTGAGATGCCTTGAGTCATCTAAGTGGAGACACCAAATTAGATCTATGTGTCTGGAACTCAAGAGAGAGGTCAACACGGAGATATAAATTTGAGAGCCATCAGCACATAAGTGATATTTAGTCATGGACCTGAGTGAGATCATCTAGAAGCAGAAGAATGGGGCCTCAGAGGTCAGATAGAGAAAGATGCTGAGGGCATTGAGAAAGCAGCCCTGAAATCAAGAGAAAACCAGCTGAGTCACAAAGATCCAAGATGGAAGGAAGAAGTGGCCAGCCACACCGAATGCTGCAGAGAGCTCAAGGAAACATCACCTTCACAAAGGCCAGACTGGAGTAGTGGGAAGAATGAATGGTCATATACTGATGGAAGCGATCCAACAGCAGGAGAAAATTGTGTTTGAGGTCAACGAGTAGAATTAGTAAGTGTGGAGGACTCTTTTCATACATTATGGGATTAAAAGGAGCAGAAAAATGTGGGAATTGCTGGGAGAGGGTTGGGATCAAGGGAAGTGTTTTTATTAGTAAACATAAGGGCATGGTAGTATGTAGACAAAAACATGGACATAATCCTTTAGGAGAATTGCTAATGAGGAGAGAGAAGATAAATAAAGGGGTAAAGTTATTGCAAAGAAAGAAGGAGATGGAACCTAGATAATAGAGGCCTTTGGTTGGTGCCAGGAAAATGAAGACCAGAAGTCCATAAGACTGTGCTGTGGTAGTGGAACTATGAGGAGGTTTCTAACTAGTGACTACTGGTCTCAGATTACCAGGGCATGGCCATGAGCTGAGGGGGTGAGGATGATATTCTGAAGACAAAAGAGAATGCATGAGTTCTAACCAGCTTAGCTCAGTGGATGGAACATTAGCCATGGAGTGAAGGGTCTTAGGTTTGATTTGGGTCAAGAACATGAATCTCAGCTGCAGGCTCGATTCATGGTCCTAATCAAGGTGCATTTGAGAGACAACCAATCAATGTGTCTCTCCCACATCGATGTCTCTCTATCTCTTACCCTCCCTTCCATTATCTCTAAAAATCAATGAAAAAATATCCCTAGGTGAGGGGAGAGAGAGAGAGAGAGAGAGAGAGAGAGAGAGAGAGAGAGAGACCTTCTTGGAAAGTAGAAAAGAGAGCTTACTCATGAAACTTGATAATATTTATGGACTGTGTTGAGCTCATATTTGAGGATTCGGGTTGTACATTTAGGAAAAGTAATTAGCATTGTTTTGCAGTTTCCCTCCACAATGTTCAGCTCCTTGGGTTCAGGCAAGGAGATATCAACAGGTTTAGCCAAGGTTGGTGAATAAGACTGAGGGAAAGGGGAAAGGTGTGGGAAAGGAATGGTTATTATGTTGGAATCTAAACTGAGTCTGCTAGGGCTGCCATAACAAAGTGTCACATGCTGAGTGCTAACCCAACAGAAATGCATTTTCTCACAGATTTGGAAGCTACAGGTCTGAGATCAAGGTATCAGAGAAGTCAGTTTCTTCTGAGGTCCCTCTCCTTGGCTTGCAGATGGCTATCTTTTCCTTGGTCTTTACACTGTGTCCTAATTTCATCTTTTTATAAGGTCACCAGTCAAGTTGTAGTAGGTCCCATCCTAATGACTTCATTTTACTTAATTACCTCAGTAAATACTCCATGTCCAAACACAGTCTCATTCAGAAAAACTGGGAATTAGGACTTCATCTTAGGAATTTTGGGAGAACACAATTTATCTCATGATGGGAGGGAAGTGAAAGACAGAGGTGGATAATGGGTCATGGAAATAGGTAGTATGGTTCATGGTTTGGGGGATGTCATTGACATGAGTCATGTTGCAATGAGGGTCACTGACTGTGTGAACCAAATGGTCACAAGTCTGGTCAGAAGGTTGAATGCTTGAAACTGAGACTTCAGGAGGTGTCCCTGGTACTGAATTCCCAGATGTGATTATGGGAGTTGAGACTGACATTGGACTGCCACAGTTGGGAGGTTGAGAGTCTGAGAAAAGAGGATGTGAGGTGGATTATCCACATGGACACTGAAACTACCTGGATAGTGATTGGAGTAGTGATGGGGAGGAGGAAGCTGAACCAGGAGCCCAGATCTGCACGATGCTGAGTTGTGAGAAGGTCGGTGGAACACGGCAATTAAGGGAGTGTTGGTTGTGATGGGAAGATAAAAGTCTAGTAGGTACAACTCCAAAGGGAAAGGGGATAGGAGGAGTCATTTAGAAGTGGGAACAAGGAGAATAAAGTCACCTATCTGACCTGGCCCTTGGGTACATGAGTCTCAAGGAAACGTCTTTGAAAGGGCACAGGGATGTGTAACCCTCAGGGATACCACCTTCAGTTGAGGCAGAAGGTGAACAGACAATGCATTCAGAAGAAGTTAATGATGCAAGGGAACCAGCCATTCCTAGTCAGGCATTATGAAGGGTTCAGGAAGGAGGAAAGGAGAGGGCAACAGACCCAGGAACAGCGGTCATCATTGCAAACAATACTCCCACATTCTTAACTTCCAGGAAGCTACTCTCCTAGTTCCAGACATACCTGTCTGGTGGCCATGGGGATGGAGACATCTTTCCAGCCCATAGCGGTATCACAATTAACACCACAGGGTGGGTGCTTTTCAAGTCATCTCTGCTGGAGGCCCAAGGCCTCCACCTCCCTTCCAGGAACTGGGCATGAGGCTTGTGCTCAGATGAAAGCTGCCCTTAAATTATCATCGGG